ATTAATTCAATTTTACTCTCCCCGCCGCTCTCCTTAGTTCTCTCTATCTCTATCTATCTCTTTCTCTCTCTCTCTTTCTCTCTCTCTTTCCCTCTCAGACTTAAAATCGTACAAGGAATTCTCAATTGAAAACAAACGTCGGCTGGCGGCGAAAATGATTTAAACTCCGCCGTTAGCAACGTGGCAAAGTGTGTCAACAGTCATTTAACTCCAATCAATGAAAGGAGCAGGAGGAGGATGAACAGGGTGTGACAATGATAGCCTTCTTGAGACGTTTTCAATACCGTATTTTCTTTTTTTTTCTCCCCACAAAAGTCGACAAAATTTAAAAAAAAAAAATAAATAAAGGAAAAAGGGCCACTATAGATACTTCAGTTATTGAATTAAGGTCATTATGACAAGGGTTCTTCAATCTGTTATGCCGATGAGACAGAAAAACAAAATCTTTTGAACGGATTTAAAATTTAAAAATAAAATGAAACTCTAAAAAAAAAAAAAATTAAATAAATAAAACAGTACTGAAGATAATCTGGATCATAAACGGTTTGGCTGTTTCTTTTGGTGTGTTGAAAATTTTAAAGCTATAATAACGACGTCAGCTAGCCATTTTATCAGCTTAAATATTAATATTAATAGTCTTTTTTAAAATATCGACAAAGAGTAAGAGCATGGATGTAACCAGATGTTATACTAAGCTAAATTGTAATACGGCGATTTGGAGTAAGGAGTGCTGTGACATCTTTTTAAATCCTGTCTTTTTTTAAGTTAAAATCCTATCTTTATAGAGATTTTCCAAGCGTAGCTCAGATGTGGCACAAAGCCGAAAGTATGGGGCACCCAGAGAGGATCGAACTCACTACTCAGTGGCAATTGTTCTAGTGAGACAAGCTTGCTAACCATTACACATCGAGATGCCCTTAGATTTTTCTAAGCGTGGCACAAAGTCGAAACTATGGGGCACCCAGTGAGGATTGAAGTTACTATTCAGCTGTAATGGTTCTGGCGAGACAAGCTTGTTATATACCACGTCGAGGTGCCTAATCCTATATTTATATCTGGCCGAAAATGGGGTACTGTTGCCAGATTTAGACAGGAGCTGTCCAGACCTCACTTTCCAGTTCAAAAGCGTCTCCGGGTTCGAGAAGAATTACTCCAACCTCTCTCTTTCACAGGCAGGATGTGGCGAGTCTCTCACTGCTCTATCGCTACTACCGTACAAAGTGCTCGGATGAAATACATTCCTTGATTCCGACAGGTCTAACCTTCACGGCTCACATCCGCCATGCCACTTACATCGTAACAAATCAGCCACATTCCCCCCATATTCCATCGGTGTGAAGGAAATTCCACTCGAACAGCTTCTTCCTGCGAACCCCTGTTCTGTGGAACTGACTCCCAAGAGGATGATTCCTCAATTACTACAATCTTAACCTGTTAAGTCTAGATTTAACAGTTATCTTCCCCTCCTATCAATATAAACTAGCCCTTAGCATAACCGCTTACTTCAAGTGGTCTCCAGGCCTTGTACAGATTGAACCTTTCTGTAAAAAAAAATTAACACACATCAATATCTATGTTAATCAAATTACTTATTTTATCTCAAAATTCGGAATCCGAATAGACTATTATTTATTACGTATTGGCAAGAGACGTTAAATACTTTTATCTTTCTTTCTTTCTTTCTATTACTGAAACCAAGTAGCGTCTCTGATATGTCTTTTCTGTCTTTCCAGATGTTCATGCCAGAATAGTCCATTGTTTATCTGGTATTGACGAAAGACATGAAACATTTCTTTCTTTCTTTCACTAAAACCAAGTAACGTCCCAGATATACCTTTCCGTCTTTCCCCGTGATCAGAACGAAATTGTCCATTATTTATTAGGTATTGGCAGGAGACGTTAAACACATTTCACTTAAACACTTACTTACTTACGTACCTACCTACTTATATACTTTCACTAAAATCAAGTAACGTCTCTGATATGCCTTGTCCGTCTTTCCCCGTGATCAGCACGAAATTGTCCATTATTTATTAGGTATTGACAGGAGACGTTAAACACATTTCACTTAAACACTTAATTACTTACTTTCACTTAAACACTTAATTACTTACTTACCTAACTACTTACTTACTTTCACTAAAACCAAGTAACGTCTCTGATATGCCTTTTCCGTCTTTCCACTCGTTCAGAACAGAATAGTTCATTATTTATGAGGTAATGACAGATGATTAAACACCTCTCTTGCTTCTTTCCTTCATTTTACTGAAACCAAGTGACGTCTCTGATATGACTTTTCAGTCTTCCCACGTGATCAAAACGGAATAGTCTATTATTTGTGAAGTATTGTCAACGACTAGACTGGCTTACGAATCGGCATTCGAATTGTACCTTTTAGATAGGTCTATATTTCTGAGATGAAGTATTGTAAGTATTTACATTATTTACATTGTTCGGACCTCATATTTACTGTCACATTCACGACATTTCGGCTGTTGTACGCTCCGATCATCTTCAGAAGATATTTGTTGGAGTTTCGAACCGAAACCTTTATTTAGTCTACCGGAGTAGATTGTTCTAATTCCACACACCATGCCTTTGGATATATCAGTTATAGGTAAGAGATTGAACTCACAAATCTTTGGAACAAGTCAGTTTTTTCTTCAATCAACCAACGATTTTATATACTGGGCCCAGTATCCTTTCAGATGGGATCAAATATTGACCCCTAGCGACGACGAGAAATTTGGTACTAAATAGACCGCAGTAATTTGTCATTTTGTACAAGATTTAGGACTGAAACTTATACTGTTAGTTGCAGATTAGGACAAACTGATTTTTCGATTTTTAAACAAAATTAACATTATATTTAGTGCAAAAGCAGCAGTTTGTTGCGATAAATATCAACATCAAAAGTTAGATTCATAGATTTTACCAATTTTGAAGCGTTTAGTTTTAAATAAGGTCTGAAAAATATACAGAAATACTTATTTCCACAGGGTTTTGCGTCCAAACGGACTTCAAAATTTTAGTATTTCGTAAATAAATCCAAATAAAGTTGATATATTTTGTATTAATACATTGAATAGAAAATATATTCAAACCAGAATTCTAATTATGAATCACCAGAAGCAAAATATGCAGTTTTTTTATTGTATTCGATGAGTAAAAACTGCGTAAAGAATTGTAAAAGATTATAAAAAAGAATAGTCAATGAATTTGTTAGAACATTTGTTAGATAAAAATTAATAAAAAGAAAAAAAATAGATAAAACTCTATATAACGCCATAATACTGATCGGCACAAATAATAAGGTTTATAATACCCAGAAATTCCTACACAGATGTCCTCAAGGACACATGGCACAGTGGATAAAGGCGTTGGTTAGATCCAGTGACAGGACCCAAAAGGTTAAGGCAGTGGAGAACTTAGAGAAGTGAATTAACAGGAGATAACAGGAGATAACTGATAACTGGCACATGGAACTAGAACTGTCTACGCCAGTGAGCGAAATAAAGGGTTCAGTTCGACATTCCAACCACCTGAAGAAGTCCGGAGCGTACAACGGTCAAAACGTTGTAATAAATATGGCAACAAAGATAAGGACAATAGTCCGAATAATGTAAATAATGTACATAATACCTCATCTCAGAAATATAGACAGATACAAATTATAAGATAAAATATTTTAAATTTAGATTGTTTATTGCAAATCACCTTTAAAATACTGCACTGTATAATATAATACATTATAATATAGCCAGCCTATGCAGTAAATGTTCTCTTTGAAGTAAAAGCGGGTCTTATTTGATGGCACAATGATTTATTAATAATGTGCGTTTGCCTTGCATCATGTCTATATACAATTTAAAAAACTTCAGTAAATTAAAAATTTTATATAACTGTGCTATAAGGCTTTCACTGATCACCGGGTTGGAATTCCAATGCTAAGATTTTAAACCTCAACTTAATTTTTAAACTGTTTTCCTAAAAAAAAAACCATGATGATTTGGAAAATTATTTTGTGTCATTATTTATGATGTCAAACCCGACCTTTCAAATTGAGTGCAACACCACGGTTCCATTTGAGACCTACTCTATTGTACATAGCCAACATTTTCAAAACAACTTTGACAAGATTAAATGTATATTTGGTGCCTGAGATTCTCACTTTCCAGACTCAAAATCGCCTAGGCAGACTTTTGAGAGAGAGCAGATTCTCCACTTTTCAGCCTCTGTCCAGGAGATGCAATGTGGCTACCCTCTTTTTATGGCATTCAATGTTGGACAATTTTCCCAAGCATAAAGAAGACAATTAGAAGCCGCAGAAATGTGGTTCTATAGAATGTTGGTTGGTTGTTTTGTTCAATAGCCTATCAACCTCAGTAGGTCATTTAATGCCAACAATTTTTTTAAAATAGATTCATAGCGATAGTTTACTAAAAAAAGATGTGTATGTATACATATATATACATTTTTCAGTTACTCATATTTTTGTGTACAATCGCATGTATTGCTGGTAATTTTTTTTTTTTCAAAAACGTATTGCTGGTAATATTTTTTTTCAAATATATATTACTGGTAATAGTTTTTTTTGTTCAAAAATTAATTTCTGGTAATAATTTTTTACAAAGTATTTCTGGTGTTAAAACCTACTTTTACACTTTTCTAATGCTTTTTACCTCAGTTTCGGGGTTAACTATTTGCCCATAGCTGGGACCCTAACAGGTGCTACCACCCCGGGCCAGGGTGGACCTTGGAACACCAGCAATTAAGAGGTGGTTCGACGTTTCTCAAAACCTCATTATCTGAGGCCTTGCTGTTGGACGTAGTTTATCGTCTTACCCTGGACGCGGATGTATTTTATCGTCATACCCAGGACGCCTCATTGGTGGGGGATTTTACCCCTCTTCAGAGGTGCAGTCAGTGTATTCTACAGCCCAGCCAAAAGGGCGGGGTCTATAGAAGGATATTGAAAATGCCATAGACGGAGCGGTCTTACGGCAATAATGCGTTGAAACAACGGTTCCCGTACTATCACTGAAGTTAAGCAACGTTGCGCCTGGTCAGAACCTATATGGTTGATCACTTGGGAATATTAGGTGCAGAAGGCTTGGGTGTGCAGGTGGTGTAATAGATAATGATTCGGAATTTTTAATAAGAGAGGCAAGTTCTAATTCCAGTTGGGTTCGTTATATTCACTTACGCATAAATACCTTTGGGGAAGGCATGAATCTACCTCTTCTCCCCCCAGTTATGGGTTAATTAGTAAATCATTATTATCTCTAAAAAATATTCTCACAATCTAAAAATATTTTCTGGCTTTAAATAAGCTGCAAAGGCTTCAAAAACCGTAGAAAACGAATCCATCATGGACGGAATGAACAAACCACAAAGAAAGTTAAAAAAAATGGCAACAGAAATAACACTTATATTCAAAACCAGGAAACGAAATCTGGAGTTCCTAAGACGCATAATGAGTAAGAAGGGCTTGGAAAGATTCACCCTCATGAGGCATATTGAGGGTGCCAGTTATAGGGGAAGCCAGCGAGCCACGTACGTGATGACCTTGTGTGAATAGATGGCGAAATGAGAGAGGGGGACCTTTAGAAAAATGAAGCATGAGCTCCATGCATCCACCAGTTCAGAACTTTCCAGCTACGAGACGCCGTGCCGTTTCCACAGAGTTGAATCATCCTCATTTCCCTCCCTATTCCACTTGTAAGGAGGAAGATCTGCTCAGACAGCTTTCCCCAAACAACAGCCACTTTGTGGAACAGACTAGTGCATGAATACTTCTCTAACAACGCTGTTATTTATTTTAAGTCAAGGGTTAGTTGTTTATCTATCCTCCTTATCCGCATAACCTTCACTTCCTACATCCTCTGCTTACCTTCATATCACTCAGTTCAGTAAAATTTTATTTTGACTAGCTCTCGAACCTTGTAATATGCGAATTTTAGTCAAACATTAAGTATATTTCCAATGTCAGTATGCAGACATTGAGCCCGAGTTAAAAATTTGTCTGGTAATTTGTCTCCACTTCGAAAATTTGGAAGATAGATACCAACTGACCCTTGACTTGAAAAAAATAATAAATACTCCCTAAGGTTTTAAGAGAAGGACATACAAAATCTGAGGGGTTGCTTAGGGAATCTTGTGGCACGCTGTGCACCAATTCTTTATATTCGGATCTACCAAAAACGTGATTGGCTCTGCACTAACCTTCATCACTATAACATATGTTAGGAGGGTGTAGCTCTTCAGTTCTAAGAACTAAGCTGCTTAACCCTCATACGTCGATAAACGACGGGGTGTCCTCCACATACACACACGTACGATTCGCACAGCGCAAATCTTTCTATTCCCCATTTACCCACCTCGAATTTTGCCTTGTATCAGACGCGGTTATCGAAAATAAATATTTATCAAAAGAACGTTGATTAATATTTCATTGTTTCTATTCTTTATTTTATTTTATTTTTCAATGTTCTAAATGTATGCTGTCTGGCCGAAAATAGCCCAATATCGTGTGACACGAGCGACGTAAAGTTTCTGAGACAATCACAATTTTCTTTCCGCTTGTAACAGTATTTTAAAAATATTTCTTTTATGATAAGAATTTGATTTAATTTTCCAATCTTCCAAAATATTCCTAAATATCGTGACATATTGATGCGAGGAAAGAAATACAGGCAATTCACATTTCGTGACAGAGCAGAATTTTATTCAGACATTAAATGATTTGAAAAAAAAATATTTTCAGAAAATGAGAAGCCATGTTTAATATTTTCAAGATATTTTTCTATTTACTGACCGACAGATGAATGCAACCAACTTTCTTCCTACATTTTCACGGCATATAATTATTACCTATTTCACTACGCTGTTTTGTTCGGGCCAATTAAAATTCGAAATCTCATTGGTCAATAATTCATAGATTTAAATCATTATTTAAAAATAACTTTTGTACTCATTCGTATGAAAGCCGCCAAAATGGCTGTTATGTTCAATATGAATTTATAAAATTTATATTAACGTTATTTGCAAAGAAGGATGAATGATGAAAGAAACAAATAAGATAGATTACTCTGTATTTACCAGTAAATTATATATATATATATATATATATATATATATATATATATATATATATATATATATATATATATATATATATTCGTGTGTGTGTTTAAATGTGTATGGACAGTGAGAGGGGAGACTGAGAGACAAAGGAGCGTGTATATGATTATTATACAAATTTGTATGATTTGAGTATAGTGGTGAAGGCTTGTGGAGAACTAAACACGCTTTTTAAAAGAGCTGAATACAGGGAACTGGTGCACATCGTGCCACAAGGTCCCCCAAACGACCCTCTTCAGATGTTATAAGTCCTTCTCTTAGACAGATTGCAACAAATCGGCACCTGCACCAATTCTGATAATATATATATATATATATATATATATATATATATATATTAACAGAATAATAATCAATTCTGATAATATATATATATACATATATATATATTAGCAGAATAATAATCAATTCTGATAATATATATATATATATATATATTAGCAGAATAATAATAAATTCTGATAATATATATATATATATATATATATATATATATATATATATATATATATATCAGAATTGGGGCAGCTTCTCATTTTCTGTCCTACATCTGTATTATTTTTTTATCTAACGATAGATAGATAGATAGATAGATAGATAGATAGATAGATAGATAGATAGATAGATATGAGCAGGCTGAGATAGAAGCAGGCCGACAGAGATAGATAGATAGATAGATAGATAGATAGATAGATAGATAGATAGATAGATAGATAGATAGATAGATAGATAGGTGCATGTATATTGTAAATTAGAAATATGTCTACCTTTCAGCAAACATTTGATAGTTTACGCACCATTTACAATAGTACAGTATAATATTTTAAAATGACTAATAGATTGGCCGAAACAGCTTAGAGCCAACAATCCTTTGGGCAATTCCTCTACACGCTAATCTAAAAAAGGAAGGTCTTGTTCATATACAAGAGAAATGCAGTAAAAAGAAAGTAACAGTTTACGTAAATAGTTTACGTACCATTTACAATAGTACAGTATAATATTATAAAAGGACTAATAGATTGGCCGAAACCGCTCAGAGACAAATATCATTTGGGCAACTTCTGTATACGCTAATCTAAAAAAATGATCTTGTTCACATACAAGAAAAATGCAATGAGAAGAAAGTAACAGAAGTACTTTTTCAGCCATTATATATATATATATATATATATATATATATATATATATATATATATATATATATATATATATATATATATATGTATGTATTTAGACAGACAGCAAATTCTCTTTAGGCATGTCGGATTAAATAAATTACAAACATTTTATCTGCTTATTTTAGCATACTCCGTTCATATTCACGGACATATTTCCATGTATTACAATTAAAGGATGCAAAAATGTACTGTAACAGTGAAAATCACTTTTATTTCCTATGTACTTTCCATCTCTTTCTGATTATGCAAAAAATAAGCACACATAATATTTGTAATTTATTTAATCAAACAGGGGAAAAAATTTCCAACTGATGCCAAATCTGCCGAGTTTCGATCCTGGCTTGAAGCAATCGGATGTCTATCAAAACTGACGAGCTGTGATATAAGCGAAACAGTCTGTCTGTGGATGACAATATATATATATATATATATATATATATATATATATATATATATATATATATATATATATATATATGACAAAATATGTTCATTAAAAGTGTATTGGAATATACATACATATAAATTCCTACAAATGATATCCCTAGACATGGGCATAACAATGGGAACAGTCTACCATGATAAATAAATGGTTCAGTTCAGAAATCTCAGTAAATTTATATACACCTGAGGAGGGCAAAATGGCCGACACGTCGTGATAACAATAAGAAAGTGTTGTGTATGATACACCTAATTTACATAAGTGGAGTACCGACCATATAAATATGGGTTGGTACCGGAAGACGACGGAAGATTAAGAGATCGAATCCAGAGACTCTGCCCGACTGCGACTTAGTCAACCCATTCTGCAGGAACAGTCTTCCCAAGAATATACCAAAACTACCTGTAAATATTGTGTACCTTTTTTCATTGCTTCAATACATTTTGTTACGTACATTTTGTGTTGTATTATTATTATTCCATGCTTATTCAAGCTTCAACAGAAAGATAAGGACAATAGTTTGAATATAAATAATTTAAATAAAATTACATCTCTTCAATCAAGAAGAACTCTATCTCCATCCATATTTGTTTTACTCGGACTGTGACTGATCTTATCGAGAATGCAGCCTGATTATTAAGGCCATGACCGGAATGTCAAACCTTGCGGTTGAGTGTCACTTGATTCCAAAAGGTCTTAATTTTTCCCTATTTATCGACAGCGAATGGTTGCTTTGAATCTCTCACGTTTCATCTTATTTCTATGTGTCCTGTCTCTTCAGGTGATCATTGTTCTCCGCGAATTCCTATTCTTTGTGGCCATTAGCAGTTTTTTTTTCTACCTTTGCTAAGGCTTCCACACCAAGTTCCGTCATTCATTCACACAAGCTCGTTAGGTAAGTGGCTTGTTGATTTCCTCGTGCCCTTGATATACTCCGTCAAGGTAAGATTTTCCAAGTCCTGTTTCCTCATTATGCGTCCAAGGAATGTCAGCTGTCTTTTCCTGATTCTGAGTATAAGTATTCTTTTTGATACCATTTTTGTTAAGACTTTCTTGTTGTTTACTCAATCCACTCGTGGTATTTTCATTATCTATCTGTAGAACTACGTTTCTGCTGTCTCTTGTTTTCTCCTCATCAGTGAGAAAACTGTCCAGCATTCGCTGCCATATAAGAGGATGGTTAAGACATAGTAATTCAGCACTCTTTTCTTTTTCAAGCAAAATTAAATGCCGTTGATCGTTATTAAACTACTGGTCGACTTAGATCCTGATAAAATCATTTACACTTCACTTGATTGCGTTGGTGCCCTAAACAATCGAGCCGGGACTCATTGTGTTACACTAAGATCAACATAGTAAATATCAAGTAAAGAGATTATTGCAGCCTTTTGTGCAGAAGAAAATGGTGACATACTTCGAAGGCCAAATCTCTTTCGTGTCGGATGCTGCTTTTAAAGAAAGAAAAAAGAGAGAAAAGGAAAAAAAAATATATCATGACTGAATGAGGCTAAAGAGCTCATGTAAATTAGCTGCTGCTGACCAATCATGGTACAAGTTTCACTGAGCGGAGTGGATTGCATAGAAAAAAAATGCTAATTCATTTTCATGCTCCACAAATAGAAAACTTGCGAAAGGGACCACCAATCTGCTATAAAAGACTTTTCCGACCAAAACAGATTTTTGCGAAGCTACATTTGTGGACATGGAGATTTGAACTTTATAAACTTTTATTATACACCTTCTTAGCTATTGAAGTCTGTGTATATTACTCAAGTGCTCCAGCAGATTAATTAAGTAAAACAGATTTCCTAATGCCATCCTCATTGCAAGATATTTAGTTTCGTTTGCTTGTTTAACGGCATATCAACTCCTTAGGGGTCATTGAATGCCGAAATTTAATTTTCTTGGGAGCTTTGGTATTTTTTTTTGCCATTAAAATCTATTACTAGAATGTTCTCTATTTTTCCATTAAAATATATTAGTAGAATTTTCTCTTTTTTTCCACTAAAATCTATTACTAGAATTTTATCTTTTTTGCCACTAAAATCTATTACTAGAATGTTCTCTATTTTGACATTAAAATCTAGTACTAGAATGTTCTCTATTTTGCCATTAAAATCAATTACTAGAATTTTCTATATTTTGCCATTAAAATCTATTACTAGAATTTTCTCTTTTTTGCCACTAAAATCTATTACTAGAATTTTCTCTATTTTGACATTAAAATCTATTACTAATATTTTCGCTATTTTGCCATTAAAATCTATTACTAATATTTTCTCTATTTTGCCATTAAAATCTATTCCTAGAATTTTCTCTTTCTTGCCATTAAAATCTATTGCTAGAATATTTTTTCCATAGCTGGGACCCTTACAAGTGGTACCACTCCGAAGGAATATTCTACTTGCAAGATTTTATTGTTACACTAGTTTCATCGCTAAAGACGCTAGAGAAATGATTGTCTCCTTATCCCAACCAGGAGACCCGTAACCTATTAAGGTTGTAAGGGCGCCACACGTACTGCAGTTGCATCAGCAGTGGTATTTCTTTGTTAAGATATCCTGAGGGAACCCAACGTTCTCCAGGTAGGTTTGAATTCAGAGTTGTCCTTCTCTTAGTCTAGCCAACCAAGTCTCTCCTGTTATGTACCTATAGCTGGAGGGAGAAGGGATGGATTCGTACATTTCCCAAGAGTATCAGTCAATATAATGAACATGGCCGGAATTCGAAATCGGCTCTCCGATTCCTCAATCCGAGCACTGTCTATGACTCCCCCTCGACTCCTTATACCGCCGCAGAAACTATCTGAGTCCACCCGCCATATTCTATAGTTACAAGAATCAGATCAGACCCAAAATAGAGCGCTGCTGGCGCCATTCCTCTCTTTTCAGAATTGACAGACTTCAAAAGTGTTAACGCGGCCTTGTAGGCGATTAACTTTTTTCCACCTAACAACTCCTTTACGCACAAACGCGATGTTGTAAGACTCTCGCCATTCTTTCACTATTTCTACGGTTTTCATAACCAAAATTCCTTAATTTATCTAATTCAGAGTATTACAACTTATACTGAGCATTTCATGTATACAGAGGCAAACCGTCCTGATTCACTTCGCATACGATTGTTAAAAAAAGAAGATCCATTTGGAAAAGTTCTTTCCAAGAGCTGGTGCTTTATGGAACAGACTCCAGGGAGAATCCTTCCCCGATAATTAGAATCTTAATTTTTCAAATCTAGGGTCAACTGTTTTCTATCTTCCATAGATTCATAATCTATATTTCTTACGTTCTCAAAATCACCCCATTCATTCAGCGTCTACCACGAGTGGCTATCTTTCCTTCTTTTGTATTAAACTACTCAAAATCTTTCTCCTCTTTTTACCATGTTTTTAATTATGTCCGTCCTACCTGCTATACTTTTTTTACGCTGATCGTAAATCAAATTCAAAAGATAAAAATCGCTTTTTATGTGTGAACCACTCATTTGATAAGAAATAATTTATTTTTTTTTAAAATTCCAACTGTTGCAAAGTTCTCTATTATTTTATATATTACCAAAAAGTGAGATTAAAGCAAGCATAACATAATACCAACTTTAAAAGGAGTCATCATTACATATTGTGCTATTTGCATTGGTTCAACAGTAATATTTTGTCCAAGATATAGCATTATTTAATCTTGTTATCTTAATACATTTAAACTTTGGATCATTTAAGAAGATGAAAATAGAATAAGTTTAACTGAAATAAATATTACGCTTCATGCTTGGCTACATTAACAGTTGGATATATAGTTTAAGAAAGTGAAAGTAGAAACACTGAGACTGAAATAGATATTAAGCTCCGTGCGTGTTTTAAAACAAAACTTGAGTATATAGTTTATGAAAGTGAAAGTAGAAAAATTGAAATAAATATTACGTTCCGTGCGTAGTTTCAATAGCAGTTAAATATATATAATTGAAGAAAGTGAAAGTAGAAAAATTAAAATAAATATTACGTTCTGTGCGTAGTTTCAACAAGAGCTGAATATATAATTGAAGATAGTGAAAGAAGAAAAATTGAAATTGGAATAAATATTACGCTCTACGGGTGATTTCAACAGAAATTGAGTATATATATTAAGAAAGTGAAAGTAGAAAAATCGAAATTGAAATAAATATTGCTCTAGTCAAGTTGTTTCAACTTTTGTCCAAACATCATTTAATTATGTTATTTTAATAATCTTCAAAGTTTGATCGTTTACGAATAGCACGTATTTATTTAATCATGTGAATATAATAACTTTAAGGGCATCTGCTTATCTTAGTCTTCTTGACTATGACGACTAAACAGTATGTTTGATCCTCAATATATATTTGAACAGTAACCCTCTCTTTCGAGTGCCTCTAGAGCCTTTTATTGCGTTAACTTTAGTATAAAATTTTAGTTTGTCTATTATGTAATGGTCTGGAGGGAAATAATGACTTACATCAAACAGTTGACTAAATGGAAATGATAGACACACGTACTCTACTGATAAATACGATGGCAAAGAATGAGTTTTATAATTAAAAATGACAAGTAAAAAATAAAATAAGATTACCTGGTTTGTTATATATGAATTGCCTTTAAATTGGAATTATGTTCACTCTTATTACAATTGTAGTTAAAGAAGTAACCCGAGTTCAGTTATGGTGCAATTATGGAGTCGTATGGTTCAATGAGACCTAAGGTGTACATTTTTGAAATATTGTGATGAGATTTTAGCACTATTTTATTGAATTATGCTTATTCCATTTATTCAACTAATTTATCCATATAATTGTGTACCCTCAGGTTCGAAACGGAATTCAAGCCCAAAATTTTAATTCATAAAAATATCTTAAAAAATAATACGAATAGTTTTTAACCTCTCGACATATTAATTACTGATATCAGAACTAAATGAATCGAGGTTGTTCTTTTTTAGAGAAGAACAGGTTTTTTTTTTCTTAAAAATAGGTTAAATGTCAGTAAACCTTCACAACAGATTACTAATACTGTGTTTAATACAAAAGCCAACTTGTTCTAAATTCTAAGTCATTTTGCTAGTATAATGCGTAAATTTCTTTTTGACATACCATAAAAGATTTGAGCGGCTATCAATGACGTATATGTAATAGTCAATAACGAAACACTCATAGTTTTTAACACTAATACCGAATTAATCGCCTTGCCCGTGGGCGACAAGCATAAACATCACGAGTGTCTCTCCAACAAGAACGATTTTCAAACAGTAATCGTCGAAGAAACATATCAAGCAATATCAGCGAAGAATTTTCCACGGAAACCGACGATGAATATCAAGAATCGTTAACGGAAGCGAAGTAAGTGCTTAGAAGACATGAAAGAACTTTCGACATCTGACACAATGCTTTTCTCTTTTGAGTAAATTTATATCAACGACCGGAGAAGAGGAACTTCCGAATCGCATCAAAGAATACTTTTCGATTGCTTGTATATAACCTGGCCTTGCCAAAACACTTCCTTCAATGCGTCCGGTGTTTCTTCCACAGCGCCTCAATATTAATGCTTTTGCTCTCTGTAGCAGTGGTAGTATAATGACAGAACATAAGTTCCAGGTCCGGTTTGATCTCAGCAAGTTATACTTAGCTTAGAAAGAGTTTGTATAAGCCTTTCTATCTTAAAAATGAACTGTAATTCCGTTAAGTAGACTGTATGCTGCAATAACGACAAAAGTCGATACGCGACAATTTATCACTGTAACATCGAATCTTTCCTTGAAAAAAATACATTTTGAAACCATTAATAGGAAAATATTTACAGCGGTGTCACCGTTAATTAAGCCACCTCGTTGAAACTGTACCTGTCAAAAGCAAAAAATAGTTTAGCTAAAACAGAAATAGGAATTTGAATATAGGCAAATATATATTTTTATCTATCACCAAGGTCCAATAGGTGATTCAGAGTAGAGGGCAAGTAAATGAGGTTGATGTAAGAACTTGCAAGGAGGGAGCAAGATGGGCAAATTATTTGTCCCTCCTTGGTGCACACTGTTAGCGGAGCGGCCAAGTTTACACAGCAACAGCAGCAAGAAAACTGGCGCGATCAAACTCCAACTTCGATCACGTGACCACAGCCGTACCAACAATAAGCACGCATATGCAGAAGGCGATGTGACAAGCCGAAAGTTATGTTATGGCGAAAGTGAAGATCATTTTTGACTTACCCTTGTACTTGTGGACGGAGTAAGTGAGTCCCAAGAGACGTTCAAAGTAAGAAGCCGCCCTTGAGAGTTCAAGAATTTATTATGATTGGAGAAAATTCGGAATCTGTTCTGTGATAATGAAGCGTTACTAGCTTGATTTTTAGATGTACTGGATGTCATATGCTAGTTCCTCTCCCATAGAGCGGGTGTAACGGTCAGATTTTTGGAGCTATTGAATGTCATATGTAAGTTCCTGTCTCATAGAACGGCCGTGACGATCAGATATTTGGAGCTATTGAATGTCATGTCAGTCCTTGTCCCATAGAGTGGACATAACGGTCAGGGTTTTGGAGGTATTGAATGTCATGTCAGTTTCTGTCCCACAGAGCGGTGCGAACAACGCCAGAGGAGAGCAACGGTGTCTTGGTCGTTATGGTCTGAGATGGTGGCTTCAAATAATGTAGCTCGTCAAAATACTTTCTATGGGAATTACAACAGGGTAGCGATAGGCATACGATTTTTTGTCCGTGAGGAATGGCTTATAGGCAAAAATAAACAATTAGAATGGTGTAGTTTGAATAACACGAGAAAAAGTCCAAATCACAAAGAGACTGATCCGATGTTCACTACAACATCCATGTATTGGATATTTAATATGTAAAACATCTTGCATTTATTTTGTTTATATGTAAGACCCTGGTTCTGAACAAGAGATAAGTAAATTAACTAGTACAATATGATCTAATACGCCAATACATTTTTGAAAAAAAAATAGTATTACCTGCAATACACCAGACTCTCGACAAAAAACCTATTTTACAAATATACATCAATGAAACCTGAGCTACAAAATGATTTCTTACAAAGAATATATATTCTATTCATACGATCCTATCCTAAAAATCTTGTCAATGACCTATTGATATATACCATAAAAAAATAAACTAGACCAATCATACAACACTACACACCTTTTACCTTGAGAGGCTCTTGTGCCTTATATTTGGCGAACATTATTAAAAATAACAGAAAAAATAAGTTTTCTGATTCACCATTATTATTATTATTATTATTATTATTATTATTATTATTATCATAGGTGTCGGTCACTTCAAAACGGGGGTGATAATGGCTCTCTACAAATTCCTTTCCTTTGTTTTTTTCCCTATCTCCCCTCTTCCAGTTCTGCCATCGATTTGCAGAAGTTTGTTAGGTTGGTTAATTTTAGTGTCTGTCCCATTTCCCTTGAACATGTCTTGTGAGTGTCAAATTCTCTAAGCCCTCTTTACTCATTAGCTGTCTTAGAAATTACATTTGTCTCTGATTCTAAATACAATAGTCGATTTGCTTTCATTTTCCTTAAAACTTTCTCCTTGCTCATATACTCGGTCCATAGTCTTTTCAGCATTCTTCTGTAGAATCAAATTTTGGTCTCCTCTTTATATGTTTCTTATCATTTTAATCCAGGCAAGGGAATAAGACATACGGGTTTACTAAGTGCGCGAAATATGAGAAGAAGAAAACTTTATCGCGGAGAACAATAATAAAGTGGGGATTAAGCAGATAGACAGAAGATAACGATTGATATTGCATTTAAAATTTTGAAGATCAAAGGTGACTGGAAAGAAAAAAAAAACGGAAGAGAGTTCCATAAGCGGAAAGTGCAAGAGAAGAAACTGTTAGCATAGAACTTGCAGTTACATCTCGCGATTTCTACTGCAAAAGGATGAGACCTTGCCGCCAATCTAGTCAGTCAAGTTAAGTGCTAAACGCTTGGGCGATTATGTCTCTTTCGATTCATGACTGACTTGGTAAAAGATTTTCCCGCAGTAATTTGTGCGATAAACTTGTAGCCATCCAAGGCTACATAACCCAACCTGTCCAGCTATTCAAGGTTGGGGTGAGGTGGATTTAAACCTTTTCCAAGCGTATTTTTGCGTAAGTGAAGGTAACGAACCCGACTGGAATTTGAACTCGGCTCTCAGATTTCCCGCCCCGAGCCAATATCCATTACACCACAACGCACGTCCAGTCTATTAGGTTGGAGCATAATTATCAGGCGTTAATAAACAATATTTATTATGAAGAAAGAAACATAACAATTCAACAATAACATTTTAAAATGATTGTTCTGGAGCATATGACTATCGACCCGCATTTTTATAACCTGAAATTTTTTTTTTTTTTGAAAAATAAAAAAACAGCAATTTTGATTAGCAAATAACTCGCCTATAAAAACGCCTGATAATTATGCACCAACCCAGTAATACTTCGCTTAAATTCATAAAATTTAAGTACAAAAGCGAAAGGTTCTGAAAAACAATTATCTTGAAAATATTTACAGAGAAGACAACAGTGGAAAAGTTACTGGAGCCGAGATGCCAAAATAGGACCGATATCATTGCAGATTCTTTGTATTTTATTAAGAATCTAAACTAAGAATTCTAAATATACTGCAGAAGCACCGGACCAGATTCGGTAGCAATATTCAATGGATGAACAAATGGTAGACATCCAGTCGTTTTCGAAAGAGAGCACTGGAACAAAGCAATCAACGACAACTCACTTCAACAATGACTTGATGAGGCTTGTTACATGGCAACTGAGAAAATAAAAACTAATCCCTCTAGAAAATTGATTGCTTCAAATGGCCAATCTTGTAAGGGTAAATTACGCATCATGCTGGGATTCATAAATTTCCATCAGGACGTTATATCTTCTCGGCTTGAAATTGTGTGAATTAAGATTTATTCCGAGCCCGAATTGTGGGAATCTCTGCTCATAAAAGAATGCATGAAGACAATGCGTATTAAAATCGATCAGGAAAACACTACTTTGGGGTAAATAAAGATAAATTGGTGTATTTTTGTAACAAGTGAATTAAAAAAAAAAACTACTGTTCCAAATTCTTTAACAATCCTATGAATCCAGATTAACGTCTCGTAATTTTGATGCATGAGATTCTTCATTCGACTAAATCACAGATTTAATTTTCGCAAACACATATACACACATCTATTTCTTACTAGCAGGCTTCGCCCGCTCGCTATCGCTTCGCAAAGTAAGATATATTCATATATTCACAACTTGAAATGTTCGAAACAAAAATTTTAAATGAACATTTCATCCACAAATTGATTTGTTATAGTTAAAGAAAGTTTTACAAATAGATGTCAACTTGTTGAAGGCCAAGTAAAATGCAAATTCCAAACACTTTTCTACACTATAGAAGACGTTATTCTTAAAAATAACTATTTTTGATATGAAAATCAAAACAATTCTTGAATAAAAGAACACTAGTGAAGGACAGTTAATTAATGAAATATACTTTTTTTTAAAATCAATATGTAAATTCGTTGAAACCTGAAGAGTCATATCACCTAGAAGTATATAATAAATAGTACAAGTATTGAGCTTTTTTATTATGAATTACTAATAAGTAGAGGTGCTAGCCCTGGGGAAGAGCTGCCCGAGGCCGCGCCCTCTCATTCCATTAGAGAGATCGGTGCGCACATCGAGGTTCCCGTAACCAAAAATTTGGAAACGGTATGTTGCACTCCTTGGAACTTACACTAGAAGCTCCAATACAAACATTTCAGATGTTTTGGGTGTCAATCTGAGGACAATGCAGATGATTCAGAAATAGTTGGATGAGTCTAATGATGATTACGAAGGTGTTTGCAGTGATCACTAGTAATGTTATGCCTCCATTCTTCTTTTCACAGGGCCTCAAACTCAACAGAGAAGCCTACATGAAGCACTTTGAAAAGGTAGTGCTGCCCTGGGTCAAGAGGATGGCTACTGGAAGACACTATCTCTGGCAACATGACTCTGCACACCATGCCACTTAAGCAGGAGAACACAATCATGGCCGTTAAACAATTTCTGCGACCAGATCACCCATTACATCTGGCCATCAAATTCATCAGACAACAAACCCCTTGGTTATTATACGTGGGGCAAAGTTGAGCGAGGGAACAACAAATCTTCTTGTAAGACCAAAGATGAACTGAAGGCAAGGATTATGGAAGCATTCACCAACTTAAACAGGGAGACCGTCCAGAAGAGTGAAAGGAGATTTTATTGAATAATTTTACTTTTTAGCATTTTAAAATATTTTTTGCAATATTCAATATATCTTTTAAAATGAGATGCTAGTGTTATGGTATTTTTTCAAAATTTAGACAATTTATCCATTGCACACTCTATATATATATATATATATATATATATATATATATATATATATATATAGGGAAAAAAAACCTTAGTTCTTGCCGAAGTGTTTCGTCATAAGACTTCAAGACAAACAATGAAAGCGAAATGTTTTGTTGTCATAGTGACATTAACTCCAAAATTTTAAAAAGACTGACGCTCCTTCATAAGCCTCTTTCTGGACATTGGTAACTTCCTTTTTA